CATACTTTGGGCGCCCGAGTTATCCGGGGTAACTCGGGTCCGGGGTAAGTCGGGTTTGGATTCCCGAAAAAGGAACCCGAGTTAGCCCTGACCCGAATTACCCCTATGATTCGGGGCTCTGGACGCCCGAGTTATCCGGGGTAACTCGGGTCCGGGGTAACTCGGGTTTGGATTCCCGAAACACGAACCCGAGTTATCCCTGACCCGAGTTACCCCTGATGATTCGGGGCTCTGAATACTGGTTTCGTTTCAGCGGGCATCTTGGGGTCATCTCGGGGTCGCGGGGTCGCAGTGGCGCCCAGGGAGGGGGCGAGCCAAAGAGTCTTAGATTCGAGCTGAAGGGCAGCCCAGGTTCCGGCTCCGCGGCTCCGGTCCCAGCCCGGACCCCATGGCAGCCCCGGCCCTGGCCCCGGCCCTGGCCCCGACCCTGGCCCCCGGTCCCGGCTCTCGGTCCCGGTCCCAGCCCCCTCCTCCTCCTCCTCCTCCTCCTCCTCCTCCTCCTCCTCCTCCTTCCTCCTCTTCCTTCCTCCTCTTCCCACACCTCCTCCTCCTCATGTTCCTCCTCCCTCATCATCCTTCTCCTTCTCCTCATTACTCCTCCTCCTCTCCTCCTCCTCATCATCATCATCATCATCATCATCATCAAATCATCCTCATCCTCATCTCATCCTCATCCTCATCCTCCTCCTCCTCCTCCTCCTCCTCCTCCTCCCTCCTCCTCCTCCTCCTCCATCATCATCATCATCATCATCATCATCATCATCATCATCATCATCATCATCATCATCATCATCATCATCATAATCTCATCATCATCATCAGCAGCATCATTATCAGCATCATCGTCGTCGTCATCATCACCACCACCACCATCATCATCATCATCATCATCATCATCATCATCATCATCATCATCATCATCATAATCATCATCATCATCATCATCATCATCATCATCAGCATCATCATCATCATCATCATCATCATCATCATCATCATCATCATCACCCTCATCATCAGCAGCACCAGCAGCATCATCCTCATCATCACCAGCATCATTATCACCACCACCACCATCATCATCATCACCATCAGCATCAGCATCAGCATCATCAGCATCAGCATCAGCATCAGCAGCATCATCATCATCATCATCATCATCATCATCATCATCAGCATTATCCTTATCAGCATCATCGTCCTCATCCTCGTCCTCATCCTGGTTCTCATCATAATCCTCCCTCTTTCCTCCTCATCCTGCTCTTCCTGCTGCTCCTCCTCCTCCTCATCCTCGTCATCCTCCTCCTCCGCCTCCTCCCCATCCTCTCCATACTCCCTCCTCCCTCCTCCCTCCTCACTCCTCACTCCCCCTCCTCCCTCCCCCTCGTCCCGCCTCCCACCTCCCGCCTCCCGCCTCCCTCCTCCCTCCTCCCGCACGTCGTAGGTTGTGTCCGTTGTCGGCGTCGAGGTCGTCATCGTCGTCGTCGTCGTCGCCGTCGTCGTCGTGTCAACCACCAACATCTGGAACGCCTCGGATCGGCGGCACTGGCCGGAGCCGGCCATTCACAATA